TTTGCAATTTATGTTTGACTTATTATTTAAAATGTCAATTTTATTTAAAAATTATGTTCCTTCCAGGTTGCTTCATTAGGTGTGTCATTACCATTCCCGTTATTAGAAAATGGTTCCTTAGCCAACACGCTCATGGCTGCTGGCGATATGTCACCATGGAAACCAGTGACACCTTATTCAGACAACACAACTCTACCTTTTGCTCAGACTATTGTTGGACGAGGAGTTTTACCAGATAAAGTTCAGGGGTAAAGGACAAATTGGTGTACATGAAGGCAAAAGCATGACAACCTATTTTAGAAAACAGATTGTATGTAGGTTAAGTTTTACCAGTTAAAGGAAAAAAGCTCAGTTTACATATTTAAAACAAAAACATGGCAGCCTGTTATAAAATCCATTTGATATATATTACATTTTATTTTAGGTAAACTCTTCTTGATGTATCTTTGAAAACAAACAAAATGTTAAATACAATTGACATCTCTTTTTCAGAACCATTGACCCAAATGCACCAAAACTTCTCAAAGACTGTTCAACAGCTGACGAAGTTCTCGGGCTGTATCTAGCAGAAATGTTTCCTAACTGTATCAGGTAAACTAACACAATATTTCAATTTGGAAAACTAGTAAGTCTTATTAAGTAAGATATACTTGGTATTTAACTAGAAGTTTATATAATGTACGTATATGCTGCAAATTTTTAAACATTTCCTGTATTTACTTTCAGTAGTGTGAAGGTACTTCAGTCACCTTGTCAAGTCACTGCTCCATATCCACATATGTTCAGTAGAAATATCAGTTCAGATGGATATGTTTCACAAAAGAATAGATCTGACAGCATGGGTAGGTATATGCTAGAATATTATCCGCCTTTTGATACATGATTAGTACTTGATAAAAAAAGTTTACTTTATTGGTTTACAAAGTAAGTGATAACCAGAATTTTCTGTCTTTCCTGTAGAGCAGAAGCAAATATGCTTTAATTTTGCTGAGTAAAAGTCTTGATGATATTATTTTATTATTTGGAATTAGCTAGTTCTTTACTATAAGTTGGAGACAAACAGTCATTTTAGAGAATCTGATTAAGGATCAAAGACCAAATTACCAATAAATTTCAGATAAAGTGGATTAAAATGTTCATTATTACTTTTATTTATTTGGAAAGGTGTTAACAGCGTACCAGTTATGACGTCACTTCAGTCTACGCCAACATCTGCCAAGTGCGTGCAGGCTCTTCTCAAGGAAACCAAAAAACTCAATATTTCCAAATATAACAAATTTCTGGAAGCTGGACTTGAACAAGATGATTATAAAGAGTGTTTAAATTCTTTAGAGACTCTGCAAGAAAATTATGTGGTGGATATGAGCTTCAGCTAGCCAATGTCAGGCAACTTAGGAGCATTGATGTCAACAACTGGATTTTTAAATTATTAAAATAATGTCAGTGAATGGCTAGAAATTATTAGAGCTTGATTGTTAAAATATAGATTACAGCATCTCCATTCTTGTGTTTAGTTTGTGAATTTTTGTCGCATTAAATCTGACAAAAATTCTGAAGTAACTGTGTCAACAGTCACTTATGTGAGATGTGCCAAGTCTTTTATATATTTATGCACCATATCTTTCATAACATTTGTCAGTGTGTGAAATAAAAACCTCAATTTTCAGATTGTTTCTTGGTCATTGTTTACAAAACATAGATCTTATATCATTTTCAATGATTTGAATTTATTTCTTTTTGGTAGACCATTTAACCAAGAGGGGGGACCCCTAACATTTTAATTCAAAATAAATGATGAAAACAACGTGAACAGATTTATTTATAGATTATATTTATTGGAAGAAAAAGTGCAAGTTATGGTCAATGTGCAAATTCAAGCATATGCAACTGTTTCAGTATACAATAAAAATCTTCTGCATCTTGTTTGTATAAAAAAATTTGCAACTCAAAATTCTGATACAACGAATAATATTCATTCATCAACCAAAAAGATTTTATTGTGCTTCAAGTTGTCCATGGACAGAATGTTAAGAGGCACAAATACTTCATAAAAAGGCACCATTAATACTGTTTTACAATTTGTGCAGGAACAGTCGATATATAATGTGGTTTCACACTACTGAACAACAAATTATTCCAATCATAGCATATTGCTCAAAACTTTAAACTGAACAAACAATATTTTAAAATAGTTTTTGTTTTACACTTTTCAATACAAAACACTTCAAGTACGCACATGAACTTGATACTGAAACTTCTTGTGCAAGGACTATTATTGTATCTACAACCTTGTCAGTTCTGCTTTTGTAAAACTTGTTTTTTATTCAACTAAGTGATAATAAAAAAAAACAATATTTCAAGACAAAAAAGCCTAAATGTTAGGCAAATGAGTATCAGTAGGTTGAGCATGTGAAAAACCAACATGCATTTACAGCTGAGCTTTAGCACTTATGCTAAGAGATTCCAATTGTCTTTTTCTTTCAATATTTCTGAGTTTGAACCAAATGTTCTGCTGATAACCCTCTCCTCCAGTGTGGGTCACCTCCCACATATGATCTCTGTGCTCTGGGTGCAACATCAGGAACTTCTTCTGAACTGAAAATAGACAAGTTCAAGGTTAAGGCTACCAAACTGACATGCAATCCTGGGTAAAGTACCCCAGGTTTGGACTGGGTTCCCACAGATTTAGATCAATCTATCTGGATCAACCTAACTCCTTGGGGGTTCAAGCTAAATTGCTGTCAGGTTCTGAGAGCCGAGCGAACACAAAAGTCAATTACCCCCTTACAGCTTTTAGTAGGCAGGACAGACATTTAAGGCGGTCAGGCTGACAACAATCTAGCAAGACTCCCCGTGGGATAGATCGATCTAAAAAATCTATGGGAATGCACTCTTGGTGCTTTCTTTTTCAAACAATTTTAGTAAACATAAAATTGGTCTTCTTGGACATGTCAAAATCTTCAAATTACTTACCACTTAACATTGCAGATGACACTGGGTAACTGAAGCCCACATCCATGTCAGGGAAAACTTTCACAATGTCTTCCATAATCTTCATGCCATACCCCTGTCTCCTATATTTCTTCTGTACATATATTGTATCAATCACAGGGAGAGCATAAGTGTCTGATGTGTAATCATGCACAGAAGTTCCTGAATAAAAAAACAAAATTTTATATCGTATTATCTTTGCCATAACAATTCAGCATTTGCGCATTTTGCTGCCGACACACAGCTCAAAGAAGTTATTTGCCCTTTCAATTTTCCCAACTAAAATTCTGGAGACAAATTTTAGATCATACCATACTGTTTTATAAAATAAATTAGAAATTACAATTCTTAAGTTATTTTTTTAATTTGAAAATTTTGTCCCAACATTCCAGGAAATGTTGAAAGGAAAAACGCACACTTTGCACTTGAATCCAATACTCCAACAAAAATGGACTAAAACTTTGTACTCACCCTTTGTTTTCATTGTGTAGAACCCCACAGCATTTCCCCTGTTCCAGATAAGCCTGGCCTCATCGTGGGGAGAGATTGACAAAAAAGGTATGTCACCTGGCTCAGTGTCCCAGTATTTGTACATTATCCTGTTTAGCACCCAAAGTACAAATCTGTCACCAAATGTTGTAACCTGTGTGACAAAGTGAAACAGGTCCAATAGTAAGGTTGGGTTTTTAAAATTATAATCTGCTAACCTCAATAAACAAAATCAGCTGGTTTTACAGTTAATGCCTTGTCTATATGGATGTTTAATTGTGAAATGATCGCAATGAATCTGAGGAGCAATCAACCCAAATTGGTGCTCCGAATTATAATACACATTAACCAAAACTACCATGATCAGACCTTTTCACCACTTCATCCTAATTATACAGCAAGTGCTTCGTGAGAAGTTTATCCAGCAGTGGAAAATGAACTCACAACTACTTCAGCAACAAGCACTCTACTAGTTGAGCCTGTCTGGCCAACATACAACTTACTTTTCAATTCTTTTGTTACTGAAAAAACATCAAGAGTAGCGCTTTTGAAAATAGAATAGTATGATGTCTAACCTTCTCCTGGAATGAACATACGTACACCTACCTGGTGAAATCCATCCCTGTTGTCATAGCTCTTCAAAGCATGTTGGAGGCCAAACCATTGGGACTGTATATGGAATGCAGTTACTGAAAAAGAAACATAATTGTAAAATCAATCTCTGTTGTTGTTGCAGTTGGACTTCTATAATATGTTGAAAAAAAAATGACATAAAAGCAGTTTGTGCCCATAAAATATTATCCCACTGGCCCCTTAGCATGCCAGGATCAAGCTAACTAAACCAAAGCAAAACCTGTGGTTGCTACCAGAACAATTTTTACAATTTTAAATTTACAGGCCCAGCTTTATTTTTCCGGCATTTGCTTAGAGACCACCTCTTAGGCAAAAGATTTATAAAAACAGCAATAAAACTAAGATTACAGTAAGCTTGTGTCATAAATTATCTGGTGTGAAGCAGTTTAGGGTCTATTCCCACAACTTTAGATCGATCTATCACCGCGGGGAGTCTCACCAGACTACTGTCAGATAATCCCCCTTAAGTGTCCGTCCCCGCCCACTACAAGCCGTAAGGGGCAATTAACTTTCGTGTCCGCCCGGCTGACAGCTATTCAGCGCGAACCCCCAGGGAGTTAGGTCGATCCAAAGTAGGTCGATCTAATCTATGGAAATGGGGTGTAAGACCGCTTTATCTGAAAAGAATGTGCTTCCAATATACATGTATATCTCTAGCCCTTTATTATCACTAGTTGTACTAATAAAGATAAAACTGCATTTAGATTATCAAAAGGCTAACACCTTATAGCAAAGCCTAAGCAACTTCACTGTAAACAATACTTCTTGTGATAGTGTGTTTATTTCAAATAACAAACACATATAGCTTGGTTTAACATGAGAGAAAGTACTCAGTAGTTTCCAATATGTTTTTAAGTTATACACACTTTTGCTGCAGTTTTCACAAAACAGACTCAGCACTTTCTGGCAAGGACTGTCATGGTCTGTGAACTGTCCATATATGCCCATCTGCAATGTGTTGTTTCTGCATACTGATACCTAAATCACATGAAAATAAATTGTTTGCGTTTATAAGGCACTATATATAAGTACAAGTATATGAATATAGAAACCAGGGTAAAACCAAGAAGTAACTGCTAAGTAATTCTAATCAGTTTCTTAATTTGTTCCAAGCAGCTACCTCGATCAGACCATGCAATTGCAATATAACAACAGTCGTACCTAACAAGGAATGTCTTTTAACATTTGTGTTTACATCTGATAGTGTGCTGGCTACACCACTGATGTGACAACAATACAGAGCTATATACCATCACCTGACCCAGCATACATATAATTGATTAAACATGAAATGTAAATGACATGTGCAAAACAAGAAAACAGTCACTGGTGGGTAGTCCCATCATTTCTTTCTGATTATCTCTTGAAAATTTTACTGTGGCAGCCTTAAATTAAGAACCACTCATATTTAATTTGACTCTAGCTGTTACATATATGACTAATAAAATGTATTAAGATGCTAGTATAATCTTATGCCAAGCAAAACATAATTTAAAGGCAACAATTCAATTTTAGTTTTTATTAATGTCTGATTTATCTTGAAGTCTACTCCCCTAGCAAAATGAAAAAAAAAAAAAAACAGCAATCGATACTGATGCAAACCTAAATTTTGCAGCAACGATTCTGTATGAGTTTGCAAGAAAATTTTGTATTGCCGCTAATTTGCAAGGAATCGCAGTTTGCAGCAAAATTGCGGCAAATGTGCAACAGGCCTGATATTTTGCTAAGGGCTACGTATATATAATATACTGTAGTAGTACCTTTTTGGCACATCCCTGGCATATAACAACATCAGTTTTCTTCCCTCTTTCGATTTCCACCAAATAATTGTCAAGGTCTGAAGTGTTGTTATCCGCTTCTACCTTCAGTGCATCAACTGGATATTGCAGACATGTCGTCTGGCGTTCCATTGGAGCTAAACAAATCGATTTGAAAACGTAAACAGTGTTCAATCTGAGGCTGAAAACGTGATTGCACATAACTTAAGTTGAAAATCAATAAGATGACATTACTTTTAACATTATCATTTTGTATAAATGCAGATCATTCAATTCACTTTCTTCTCCAAGCTTCCCCACAGTAAGAACCTACCTTCTCGAGTGCTTCGAAACAACATACATTGTGGTTCCAGCCTGTTTTAACCAGTCTGCAGAAACAACAAAAGGAGAGGTCATTTGAGGTCAAACAGAACCTTGAGCTAAAATTACCATCGTTGCGCCGATATACTCCTTTGTTTTATTACAGATACCACGTAACCTTTTGGCGGTTTTAAAAATAATGAATCTTTCTTTTTGCACATCTCATAATAAAAGTACATCTGAACCCACCTAGAACCGGATGTTGACATCAAGTATTGTATTGTATTGTGGGTAGTTTAAAATGGCGCTAGAATTTGTAGGTCAATCTCGACGATGACATTGATGCCGCTACAATGTGCTTTGAAACCTCGGAACAGTAAACAGAAAGCTCGATATAATGTGCAATAAGTTTTAATGTATGTATATGTAATATTGTACGAATTTGTTTTGGATAACTTGAATAATATGATGCAGA